CCATGTAATCGATCTGTGAGTTTTGAATTCATTGATCAATTGTAGCCCCTACAAATCAAAATATGCAGTGCTAATTATGAGGCTGATGAACATCTGGAGAATTGTTTGCGGTTCTGGGAAACAGTATGCCAATCACCCAGCAGGATACATCGTCCACATTATATTTCACATGCTCCCTCCTCAGTTGTCATCCCGGATTTTGTTTCTATGCTGTAACACACCCTGCTTTGATCGCTTAGATNAAGAATTCGTTTTATTGTTTTTCTACCACTTCTACGCAACTGTCAGTTGATAACATCTGTTGGGTAAATATCTTTCTGAAGACCAAATGACCTGCACAGTCGTTGTTGTTCCAATATAACTTTTGTCGAGTATTTTGAAGCTACTATATACATTCCCATTCCCATCGGTTGTCGTCATTTCTGTTCAGGGGCCTGTTTTGACTGTCCTATCAGAACGCATGACCAATTGACAGACCTCTTTATTTTAACCAAATAAATTACATCTACTCACTATTCTTTTGCACTATTTCATCGCATTTTGTTTTGTATCCTCCGTCCTCATCACTCTCCCCGTCTGAAGGATTTGCTCGATGTGACCCACACGGTGCATTATTTGAACTATTACTCCCAACGCCTGTCCAGTATCGCCGAGGCCAGTCGATTCCCAGTCGCCCCGGACAGTCGAGAACCGCTCAGTCAACTGGAAGCGGAACGGGTGGAACGACAGAAAAAATTGGCTCAACTGGAAGCGGATATGGAGGCGGTATTTGAACAGAAAGTAAATCACTGTCGTGTGGATGTACTTCTCTTGTGTTTTTCTCTTGTTATGCTGATCATTCGATTCATTGTTTTTGTTTACTCTCAGTCTGATTCGAGGTGTAGGCCTATTTGCTTGATACGTACGCTTTAGTGATTCGTCAAACAATAAACCATAGGTCGTCATACTTTTCGAATACGGCGAACTCACGGGATGAATCTGGTGTAGTATAAACATGCGATTTCCTTTGCCTCAATCGGTGTCAATAGGATTTCGGTCTTCCTTTGACCATTCGCGTTCATTCAAACTCTGTTGATCACTACACTGAGTAAAATACGTTAAGAGTTTGGGTCATTTCACAATCTCTTACTCGATGCTGCTTGTCTAAATCATTGCAGATAACCTCCATCAGATATGGTGATCGTA